GCCTACATTGCATATGCTGCTTGGCCCAGTCAGAAGTTGCCTTGGCCTCCCCACCCTGGAGCCCTTGAGGTTTCTCTGCAGGTGCAGGGTCCACTCACAGCAAGCAGCGTGAGGCACTTGGATCTTTGCACATGGGATTGCTTGTTAGAATCCAATAAATATTGCAGAAGTAAATATTCTATTTGAAGTTCTGCCATGTACCTTTGTTAAAGAATTATCAGACAAATCAAAATTATGCATGGGTTGTAATTACGTGTGTCAGGAGCATTCTTTCCTAAGAAAGAACAAACTGAGTTAGCATAGAAATTCTTATCGCTAGTATTTACATTTCTCAAGACAAACAGAAAAGTATTACTCAGTTTTATTTTAAGAGTGCTACTTTAAATAAAGCAAACAATCMAAAGGATTTTAAGCTACACAGGCTCATTATTATAGATGTATAGATAGTATTGAATACATGAAAGCTTGAAATAAGCAGCTGCCCTTCAGACAAGATGTGACAGTRCAATAAATCAGACAGACTGACAGGGTCAGCTATGTCATATCAACCCATACTTTCACTTTACTTGAAAGTATACTGGTGAAGAAATGTTGACACCTAACCTGAGAAATGTAGCTCTTTCAGGGTTGAAACTAATTGAGGACAAATTGAGGAGCTTTGAACTAATCTCTGGTGGAGCCGTACTCAGACCAAACGAATAAGGAGCCACTCTTATCTTACGGATTGAAATTCAATGTCTAACAGTGATTATGCTTCTTTATTTGTATAGTCATAGCACCAAAATGCTCCAAGGCCTCATTGTCCTAGGTACTATACTAGCACTGACCAAATGAATTAAAATAATAATGCTATCTGCTTGTCTTTCTGGTAAAGATACTTCTTTTGTCACTTTTCCCATGCTGGGAACCATTGGTACTGCCCCAAAAGCAATGATTTCAGAAATTTTATAAACAATTGGTGGCTTTGGGGAGGGTATTGGAAATTAAAGTYACCAAGAAATAAACCCTCTCCTTGCCATCAGCAGAATTTAATCTGACTAGGTGGGATTTTCCATTTGTGTTGGCAGAGAGATGCATTACGTATTTGGACTGTTTATTCCGGTAACCTTAGCTAGCCTGCAGAACTGCAGCATTGCTCTTTTGATTAGCTCCGAGCTAAAAGATCTGGTGAGGTGGAAAGATCTCCTACTCCTTCTATATTTGGCAAGACCGGCTCCATAAAAATGTCCATTTTGCCACGCCTCTGATACCCCACTGCAGCTGCTTCCTCTCCTCATCCCACAGCAAGATATTAAAAAGTTTGGACGGCACCTTCTCCAAGTTTATCTGGATGGACAAAAAAGCCAAGAATGCGCTTGTCAAGGTTACAAATATCTAGGGAGCTAAGAGAGCTTTCAGCCTAACTGGCTTTTCAGAATATCATAGAGGCCTGCCAGCTGAAAATTATTAACTGCTGGCGAGCAGAGACTGCGAGTGCATTCTATAGGAGACGGAGCAGGAATTACACGTACCTATACTGCTGGAATTCTTACAATACCTTAATAGAGCCATCCTACCACCAGATGTGCTTATAATGCTTTTAAAGTGCACTCTTAATATCTAAGCATTTGAGGCACTTATTTCATTGCATTTGGTCTTGTAACTCAGATTTCCCTTTTAGGGAGTGATAGGATTAATTCCTTCTCCTGATCCATATGTGATTCTTTTTCATTATTATTTTTGTGAAAATGGCCTTCTATGAGGCATTTATGTTTGAATTGATCTTGTAAGTTGTTTCAAATGTCAATTGGAGCCTTACTTTGATGATTGTAGAAAACTTTAATACCTTTATATAGCTTTTAAATATGCTCAGACATATGTTTTTTCTACAGCTTGTTTAAATGACAGAAAGGTAATTATGAAGTGTTAGTTGGTCAGTGCTGCTTTTAAGCTGCAGCTTATGGTTGAAATTATCACTACAGTCAAGAGAAAGATAGAGTTTTCTTAAGATAATAGGCTCCATGATTTATCTCACATCTCGGGAAATAATGAATGTAGTAACTTTAGGATGACCTGATAATGCTTTTGCCTGATTATTTTTTGCTCTACTGCGTTCTGAGTAATATGATACTTGCCATTTTTTTAAACAAAAACTGTAAAATTGAGTATGTTAAATAATTGATTCCATCAGGAGTTAAGGCTGCTCTTGAACCCTTCTTCTGAGGATATACATTTAGTTCATCTCATATCCACTGCTGTTTTTTTCTTGTTGTATTGCTCGAAAAAAGTTTCAGTTCTCTGGGTGCAAACTGAAAGGTTTCATAAGAGATCAAGAGAGCTTCCAACATAAATATAGGTCTACAGCCTGTGATGAGATGGGGGTTCACAAGTACCATTTTCTCCAATAAAGTCTTTAGGAAAAAAATGAGAAAGGAAAACTTTTCCAGAAATAGCAATTTTCTAAAAATACTACATTAGTGGAAAGAGTGTTTTTGAAAAGCCCATCAAATATATTTGGCTACCAAAAAGTATTTTATTTTGGACAAAATAAATTTAGAAAAGAGACTGTTTTCTTTCACATATCTAAGACAGCTAATAAATGCAATCTCCTTAGTTGGAAGAGCTAGTAAAAGTAATAAATAAGAGTAGTATGTAAATAAATAGATACTGATCTCTAGCTCAAGAACGGTCATTCATTCTGCTAACAATGTAAAGACATGTATGTTCAAGTCCCTTAATGAAAAAATAAATGTTAACCTCAGTCTCGGGATATCCTGGAGGATTTTTTTGGAAGTCACTAAAGTAATACTGACACAGAATAAGTATGGAAGAAGGTTAAAATCTCTCAATTAACTGCACTGAATTTTTGACTGCCATATGCGATCAAAAAAAATCTCAGTTCCATGCCTCAGTTCCATCAAAACAATTTATCTGATTCAGAAAGATGTTTCTAATTAACAACATTGCAAGTGACATCACTATTTGGCTCAGTGTGGTTTGGAAAAGTGTAAAACACATCCAGATTTTACTTCAAATATTTCTTCTTGTTTTGGATAAAAAGACAATTTTTATGCTGTCTTTAAATTCTCTTTTTTCCCCTCAGACCATTTTACAGTAGGAAGATATGGACTTGGACTCTACCAATATAAAAAGCTTAGAGCTTTCCCTTTCTAAGTAAAGTTGGCTTTTTTGCAGGAAGGAAGGCAGGAAGGAAGGAAGGGAGTTATCTCTAGCAGCTCAGTTGTCACTCTGCGATAATCTGGAGAAGCAGAAAAGAATCAGATTAGATCATTAGATCAATTAATTATAATTCTATGAAATTATCACAAGGATGGAATGGCGTTATCTGAGAGCTAGAAAACAGGGAGTATTCCCACAAATTAAATGAGTTCTCTGCATTTATGTAGGGCAGGCTGTGTTCTTTCCTCCACAGAAACCCACTGAACCTTTTCAGTGCATGATTTCTTTTTTAATTAATTACTTCCTTTATAATATTGAACTATCTCCTCATTTAGTTGTATTACTACACCTAATTTATAAAGAATAAAAATAACAGAATTAAGAATTTATCAGGGAAAGAGTTAAATACATGGCTAAATTCACCATTGTTGGGAATAGGGATATGATTTCTGCAGTGAACTAAGTAATATCTGACAGATTTGCACAGTGATTTTTTTTATTGTTGTTGCTTGGTTCTACAGAGTCTTTCCCCTTGTCACTGAGATAAGAATTCATTCCACCTCCCTTAAGCTATCACAGTCAGGTGTTTTGGCTAATCCAATTGTCTAAGCTTACTTCAGTTAGTGGATGGAATTAAGAGAAAAAGCAAGATTAAATCAATATTCCCCATTTTTTTCACAGTATTGTTCTTATCTTTAAATCTGATCATCACAAACATTTTCATACATAGCATTCCTCGTATTTAACAAATATTTTAGCTTGACTAATATATGATTCAGTGATCATACACACACATACATATTAGTATTTCTACTCAACATGCTATTTTGATTCCTTATCATCTCTTCCTTACAACCTAAAATACATCATTGTCTTGCCAACTACGTCTGAAAGAATTCTTCCGTCTAATAGTGATGACCAAGGAAAGGATGACTATCTATCAGTGGGTAAAAGGTTTCAACTGTAATGATGAAGTAATAGATATCATACGATTTTGGATAATTTGGGTCTGATACTCTAAATGCCTTGACTAAAGTATATTTTAAAAATACATATGCAGTAATGATGTAATTACTGTTTGACATGTGAGTTGACCAAACAATTAGTGTGTTGGGATGAGATTCTGAAACACTTCAGTACATGCTTACCATTAATATTTCTATTAGAAATCAATGTGACAACATGCATGATAAAACTTGAGCATGTGCAGAAGTGTTTCCTGGACCAGGGTTTGGTGAGTAGGAAACCAGTAACTGTGACAAGAAATTCCATCATCTCCTCTGCTTTCACAGTGCAGGGTAAGATAAAGTAGTTAAAAATGACTGTATTCCAGTTTTGCTGGTGCTCTCATTTTTGCTGCCATCTGGAAACAGGATGTTCAGAAACTCTGGACAAATGGCAACTGCATATATTTAGTAGACTAAAAGATGCTAGTATTCATTGCATGTAGGCAAATCAACTGCTTATACATACCATACTTGGGCCTACCACTTTCCAGTCAGATTGCAAACTTCAGCAGTGTGCTCAGATTATAATAAAAAAAAATGCATCAACTGAACTGCATCAATGATCAATTGAATTGAATCAAATTAATACATCATTTAGGCATTTATATTGCATATCTGCCTCTTCGATGAACTTAATTCATCCTTGATGAACATAAAAATATAAATTACTTTCACAGCAAAGACAGATAACAAATGTGTGTCATTTTGGTATAAACATCCAATCTGATATACTGACATATCTGTGAAAAATGTGAACAGAGCGCTGTTGAGTACAGCTGCTAACCACTGCTATATATGGAGCAAGCATTCAAGTTTATTATTTGGCATCAGTACCTGTCTTTCAGTGAGGTCAAGGTTTACTGCTATCTCATATCGCCTCAGCCTGGTCAAATAGTTATGATGAGCAAATTCTGCTTCTAGCTCTCTGATTTGCTCCTTGGTGAAAGCTGTCCTTTCCTTCCTGGGTTTACTGTTGACCTCTGACTTGTAGTTTCCTTCCTGGGAATCTGAAAAAGAGGATGAGAAATGGACGTCATTACAAGTGCACAGCTAATTAGGAAACCATCCCAATGATCAGGAACCTGCTCGCCTTCTACGTGAGTGAAGTTCTCCACATGTTCTCCTTGCCAAAATAAAGAAAAGAGACTCTTGCTTTCATACCTATGGATCCTTCCCTGTAAATCAGGAAGGCTACAGCAATTCTGACAGACATAAGCGTCTGCTTCCATTCGCGCAAGGCAAACATTAGCTCTAAAACCTTGCAGTGTTTCATTTCCGTACTGCTTCTCTGCAGAATTTTTGCAAAGCTTCAAGTCTTTCCCATTTCTCAGTGCTGAGACAGCTCTCAGTGCATCCAACCATGACAGAGCAGGATGTCTATCATCTGATTAGTCTTAATGAGTAACACTTCAAGAGTTGTTCCATGCTATCATTTCACTAATACCTTAAGCCAAAGACCTGATTTAAAGAGCATATGTTAAGGTCTAGTTGAGTTACACTTCAAGAGAAAGGTAACAGGCACAGCATGAGAAATTCAATGAGCATCAAAGAAATCAGAGAGCACCTCCTGTGCGGTAAAGGGGCTACACTGCCTTCACACCTAGCTTGAGGCAGGGAGATGATGCAACAGTTAGTAACAGTAGAGAATTCTTTTTACCACTAAAGCTCATAACCGAAGGCATACCATCCTCCTGGTTGCTTTTACTCTTAGAAAGAGGTACATCTGGTTCTGAGTCAAACTGCTGAAGTCAGTCTTTCTGTTGCTGTCAATTAAGACTGTATAAATAAGTGCTGTGAAAAAAGAGCTGTCAAAAGGGGGAAAAAAAAAAAAAAAAAGAGAAAGAACAAAAAAATTCCAAACAAATGGGGGACCAGACATTTAAAAGTTTGGAATTTTGGGAATGGTACACCTATAAATTCAAAATTAGCAGAAGATCAGTAGGAGCATCATTAGTCAAATTCTGGCTTCATGAACCATCTTAAAAATGTCACAGATAAATTCACACTTCAGCTGCTGACTTAAATAGAAACCTGCATCAACTTCCAAATGAACAAGCCCATAAGGAATCACTCTCTGAGACGCTGTGTCAGATGAATCATCAACATGCCCGAGACTGTCCAACTGGTCAGTAAGCCTTGTTTCAAAACTACATCATCTACATTTATAAAGGTATAAAAAGTAATCATTTTTTTTCAATTCTTTTTGGGTCAGTTACCCTTTTGCTTTGAAGAAGAATGTCTCTTTTTTATTTGGCTTTGTTACACGGACTGCTGAGGCTTGACTTAGTGCTACAGTCATTCATTAATAATCTTTTAAAGAGAACAGGTTTAAATCACCAAAACTTTTCATTTTAGCTGACACTAAACACTGAATTTTGTGTCTCTTTAGTGTACTGCTGGTGTGTATGGTTGAGGGTATCCCCAAACTAGTTGTGAGGGTATCCCCAAACTAGTTGAGTGGGTTTAGGACCAACAGAGTTACTCACTCACAAGAGATTGGAAGGTATTTCTGCAGAAACCTGCTGGACTTTTCCAGAGTAGAAGCCCCTTGGATAGCACATTCATTGGCAGCCAAGGTCAAATCAAAATGTTAACTAGCCCAGTTTGGTGTAAGTCCACAAGGAAAGCATTGCATTTCAAATGCTCCAAGAGTGATGGACATGAGACAGGAGTCTGCCATTCCTCCCACATACCTAACATAAAAAACTTAATAGATGAAAAACACCCTGAACCTCTCAGGAATAAAGGCAGACCACATTTCTTCCTTTATACCTACTGGCAAAATAGAAGCACTAAAGCTTCTCTGTGCATTTTACAATTGTAAGAACATGCACACAGCTTTTCTTCCCTGAAATTCCCTCCTCTGTCACATCAGCATATCCAATACTATACAAATACATCATGAAACATAAAGGAATACATATATTTGGAAAAATAGTTTGTACAAGTCATTGCTACAGTCTTTTGTAACGTCCTGGTAAACCTGTGCCTATTTATGGGAGACCATGAGCCGAGGAGTCTTTCCATGTTGTTACTTAGCATAGGAAAGATCCCTGGCAATAGTCAAAGTTTGTGATGTTAAATAAGAGTGCTGCACCTATAGATGGCATGGACATCATACTGGAAACTTGGATGCCTTTGTCACTGCTCTGTTGCAGTCCTACCTGGTGAAACACAGCCCAGCCTATGCACTGGCCACAAATGTGCACAGATCACTTACTGGCTTTTTGGTTTGTCAAACAAACCTCTCTAGGCTGGTACAGCCTGCTGACATGGTCATAAATTCCTTGCTCAGCATGGGGCAGCTCAGACGACATGTTGTGTGGATTTTCACACAGCCTCACAGCCTACACCTGCTCGCCTTCCCTGTAGTAACTGAGAAGAAAATGTTCTTTGCTACATCACGTCAGATGTGTTGGTCTACAAAAGCTTTGCACTCTAATGGAAGAACCTTTACAATAACATTACTGATAATGTGTTTACTGATTCAAATATTTCTTACAAAATACATGAAAGTGCCACAAAAAAATGTTCAACTGCCATCATTTTCATTCCTTTACATTCCACGTCTCCTAAGGCATTTGTAATACTCTGTAATACTCAAAATACTCTGACAAAGCACATGATATACCTCAATACTGTTGAAGGGTAAAATTGGAAAGGTGTGCAGAAACATCATATGAGGATTACCTCTCTCTCAGTAACAAGATTTACATGACTGAATGATTATAATTGTAGGGAATCTGTTCCGGGAAAGGTCTGGATGATGATGTCTTCAAAGTTGGAGGGTTATTTAACGATCTCTCTCAGTCCTGAGATGTTATGAGCTACAATGAAATGGGGTGATTTCAGTGAGTATGCCTAGTAGACTGAAGATAGAGTAGTAACTATGCCAGCAAGATGTGTCAACAGTATTTTGCTACATTTAATGCATTGAATGCATTGAAAACGTATATAAAAATATCTACTTAGATGACAGTTAGGTGAGTGCCAGTTATCAACTCTTGGTGACATTTGATTCTCTCTACTGGAGTGTTCCTGTGGTTCCTATTCAGATTGCCTTTTATTTCCCATTAACATCATGCTACTTAAAATAGCAGATTTTAGAAATGTCACCTCCATAAACTTTACTTGTTTTAATATCCAAAGCAGTAAATCTAAGGATCTTTTTGGGTTGCTTCCTTTTTTCACAATCTCTACAGAGCCAGGATTGGGAGCTCCCTGATATTCCTGACCTTCACCTCTCTGTTCATATCACCTGACTAATTTTTCTTTGGTGGAAAATGGGTGGGAGACTTGGAAGAGGTTTTTGGCAGAACTCATGTCAGCCTACATCTGTTCTGCAGCTGTTGCAACTAAAGGAAAAAAAAAAAAAAAGAG